GTGTTCTGCCTCCACATCTATGCTTGACAGGCTCCTTTCTGTAATTCAGACCTTAGTTCAAAGTCACTTCTCCAGAAAGACTTTCCTCAACTACCCAATCTACAATCATTCTCCCCACCCCTGCCTCCCACTTCGTTCTCTAGTACATTATCCTTTTTATTTTCCTCATATACCATTCTCTGAATTGATCTTGGTCACTTACTTATTTGTTTGTTTACTTGTTCCCTGCTGATTCCTCAGTATCATCTCACCCGTCATCTGATAACCAACACTTGCTGGAGGAATGAACACTCTGGACACCCAACGAAGATATTTCTTATAGTTGAGGGGGTTGTCTATTCCATTGCTCACTGTCCTGTAAGTAAAGGCACACTCATATGAGAAATTTATTGCAGAATGTAGCAGCAGGAAAGCATTATCTCTTTTGAGAATTTTCAGTGCCTTTTCCTTTCCTGGTTTTAAAGCTGTCACTGTTAGTTTCTATTTTTGTTTTGCCTTGGCTATTAGGAAGCTGAAAGCCAAATTTCAAACTCGAGGATGAATATCACGCTCTCTCCAATAGTGAACATAAGTTCTTCCTTCCTGAGGTTGATTTCCTCCCTTTGTTGCCAGGAAGTATGGTAATGAAATTTGTTACAAGTTGCCTCAATTTCTTTCTGGATGGAAGTGTGATTTAAACAAAAGCATTCAAAGTGTTAACATTCTGGCATAGACTGCACAGATACCTGTCAAGGAATGTTGACTTGGAGTCATGTAGTATTGAATGGGAGCTCTCTGGCTGCAAGAGTTTATGAGCATCCTTTATTGTTGCCAGGTGATTTGCTGTGATTCATATTTGGGAATTCCCCAAGGTAGTTTTAGTTGGGGTTTGACTTGCCTAATAAGAGCTCAATCCTCTGGGTGTTAGGGGTTTTAGGCTTTTTTGTATTTGTTGACTTGATGAGTGTCACTTCAGAGTTATGAACCAAAAAGTTCATGGATCTCGAGAGTTTATTGTTCTCTTAGAGATCAATGTCTCAGTAGTAGAAGAAATACGCCTTTTAGTTTAGCCTTAAAATGGGATGTCTTGAACTCAAGTAAATTCATGGACTACACCCTTCTAAGGTTCAAAGGAACTGTTCTTAATTATTGTTTAGGTCCAGGGAGGGTTTTGAAGTTTATGGAGCATAAAACATGCTTCTCCCTAGCCTGGCAAAATTAAAATGTAGCTCTTTTGAAGTTCAGCATGTGTTGGTATTTTAATTTATTGGCTACTTTAAATATTTTGTTTGTGGCAACAACATTCATAAAACAGCAAGAGGGAAAGCATACACTGATTCATTATTATCAAATATTTTTGATATTTGTACTAAATAGATGATGTAAAGAATATATCTATCTGGTTAATCCATGAAGGCATAAGAGTGGACAAAGCTCTTTGAATAAAATATGCTATTAAAATAGTCTTGATGGCCTAAATGCAGTGTGGAATAATGCTACTGTATATAAGAATTGTATCTTAATTTAAACATTTCTCCCAAATAAATGTTGTAGTTAAGTATTACTTAACAATTGGATACAAAATTATATTTTAATTTTTAATGAAAACAAACATTGATTCAAGTAGTTTTGAAGAAGGAGCCTGCAGAAAATACTTTTCACGAACTATGTCCTTCCAGAAAGGGAAGGGAATGGGTCTTTTGGTAATCAAATGTTAAAAAAGTCAATCAATCAATCATGTATTATATCATGCAGTAATTTTTTAAGTTAACCTTTTAAAATACACACTTCTTTTCTTTCTTTCTTTTTTTTTTTTGAGAGGGAGTCTTGATGTGTCGCCCAGGCTGGAGTGGAATGGCACAATCTCTGCTCACTGCAACCTCTGCCTCCCCTCCCAGGTTCAAGCAATTCTCCCGCCTCAGCCTCCCGAGCAGCTGGGATTACAGGCGCCCACCACCATGTCCGGCCAATTTTTGTATTTTTAGTAAAGATGGGGTTTCACCACATTAGCCAGGCTGGTCTTGAACTCCTGATCTCAAATGATCTGCCTGATTTGGCCTCCCAAAATGCTGGGATTACAGACGTGACTGTGCCTGGCCTAAGACACACATTTTATCTACACTTATATGGGTTCCTTTTTAATGTAAAAATCGGGATTTACTTAAAGATATATTAATTTATAAGGATATTTGATGAAAGAATTCCAAATAGTACATTTAAAGCATATGAACACTAGTGATAATTTTATATGATATAAAATATAATAAAATACATTTATATATAACTTTATTAGAACATTTGTATATCCAGATTTTATCTATGACCTTCCCTTTCCCTTTCCCATAACTGAAACCAATACAGTCAATAGCAATTTCAATTTAAATGGCTGTAAAGTCATTGTTCATCATCCACCATAAAGCTTGGCTCATCTCCCAAGTACATTTTAAGGTGAGATTTATCTTAACGTATTCTGTCTGCTGTGTTCTTTTGTTAGGATGAGTAGCAAAGGTTGTCCTGGAGTAACTGGTGGTATTGAACCAGCATGTAATTTACTAGTAATTGATAATTCAGTTAAGAGTATTTACCGAACACCTCACCAGAATTTTAAAAGTCTCCTTGGAGATCTGGAGGGAAAAAAAATACAAGCAGGACAAGTAAAACCATCATTTAAAATATATAGAGATAGCCTTTATCTGCCATATTTTAAATTTAAAAGCAAGAAACTTTTCTATCCAACTTATTTGACAGTGCTCAAGTTTTGAAAGTTTTTCAGCTCATTGCACATATCTTGGTATCCTGGCCAAGATAAGAAAACTCCAAGGTCCAGGAAAGTTTACTGTGGAGTAAGATGGTTACTGATCCCAGAAACAAATTCCTGGTGTTTATCTGGGCTCCAGGCTGAGTAGCCTGTTTTAAAAGAGGCAATCAAGAAGGTTTTTTTTTTGCCTTTCAACCATAAGCACTCAGGGCCATCGGTCTTACTATTAAAGTGAAGCTAAGGGTACTTCTGGATTGTGTGTAATCAAGACTTGATGTTAAACCTAAATCCAAAGAAATCACAGTGGTTATCTCAACTGCTTTTAGGTATGAGGTCAATTATGTTGGGGAAGTCTAGTATGGAAACTAATGGCACACTCGGTGTGTCATAAGTGAATGACAGTCTATAAATGCCAGGGAAGACAGAGAGAGGTAGAAAGCAGCCTTCTTTGGAAGATAAGTGGTAAACTCAAGATTGCTATAGCTAAATGCATCACAATCCTCAACAGGGGAGATGAAAGAAGTTGCTTCTGTAAGAAGGAATTGATATCTCTTGAAGTTTTAGTGCTGAGTAACTAAGAAAACTTACATGAGGGTCTATGGTTGTATGGAGCAGACACCATCTTCTTTCCCCCTTTTCTTCTTCTCATTCTAGTTTTCTAAGATGCAGCCTTTGGCGAGTTAACTAAAAATACAGATTGTTTTAAAGTTAGTGCCAAAGATGACCTATGTATTTTATTTTTAAAGCTCGTTTATGCAATGTTTTAGTTTTCAATGTGGCAAGAGAAGAGGGTGTGAGAACTGCGTCAAGTCTCTCATTTCCTGGGCTGCCTATGACTTCTGGGTAGAGGTGCCCTTCCTCATGACTCTGTGGCCACACGTGGTTCTGCCAGCCATTCGCTTTGGCATCTGAGCTGGGAGAGAATGACTGATATCATGGGCCCCTTCATGGAATTATTCACTGGCTTTTTTCACTGGGTCCTCGGGGCTACTAGGAGCAGCAAGAAGTTCTGAAAATGAAGAGAGAAGTCATTGGATATAGAATTCATAACTAAAGCTTGTCTGGAAGGAGATCTTTGTGTTTGAAAAGGACTCATTTTATGTGTAAATTTTAGACTTTGTATGTCAATTCTTTTTTTTTTTTGAGATAAAGTCTTGCTCTGTCACCCAGGCTGGAGTGCAGTGGCGTTATCCTGGCTCACTGCAACCTGTGCCTCCTGGGTTCAAGGGATTCTCCTGCCTCAGCCTCCCCGGTAGCTGGGATTACAGGCTCCCACCACCGCGCCCAGCTAATTTTTGTATTTTAGTAGGGATGGGGTTTTGCCATGTTTGCCAGGCTGGTCTTGAACTCCTGACCTCAAGTGATCTGCCCACTTTGGCCTCCCAAAGTGTTGGAATTACAGGCGTGAGCCACCATGCCCCGCCTGTGTGTGGAATCTTTTTTATTTTTTATTTTTTATTTTTGACATGGAGTCTTGCTCTGTCACCCAGGCTGGAGTGCAGTGGTGCAATCTCAGCTCACTGCAAGCTCCGCCTGCTGAGTTCATGCCATTCTCCTGCCTCAGCCTCCCGAGTAGCTGGGACTACAGGCGCCCGCCACCACGCCTGACTAATTTTTTGTATTTTTGGTAGGGATGGGGTTTCACCATGTTGGCCAGGATGGTCTTGATCTCCTGACCCCGTGATCTGCCTACCTCGGCTTCCCAAAGTACAGGGATTACAGGCGTGAGCCACTGCACCTGGCCCTGTGTGTGGATTCTTTATTCTTTTTCTGAGAAATCATATTTGTCATCGTTTTTTGCTGTTATCACCATCTGAGTTATCAGTGAGCATCTGTCAACTGTGTCCTCTTCCCTGTTCTGGCAGGTCCCCTGGGTATCCTCTGCCCATCTGGTGTTACTTCTCACCTGTTCATATTCATTGAATGGATACTCAACCTTAGATAGCCTCCCTTCAGGCGAACTTATCTGTTGATCTTTTCCTTCCCTAAATACCATCTGCAGTCCTACTACACGATTCAGTAAGTGATTGTCCAGTTAAGCTGTATGTGTTAGCATACAGCTTACACATTTGTTCTCTAATCCAGAACACAAGTTCCTTAATGGCAGGGATCAAAAAATAGGGGTGGTAAGCAGATTAACTTGCTCCATTTGTATCATTTGAGATTACCATGTGTATATATAATCTATTAAAGTAATTTAAAAAAATACATTACCCTTTCTGGTATATATTGTAAATAAATAAATATTGGAAAAAATAAGAAGTGAAATAAAAAAAAGTATTTTATTTACGCTCAATGTGATAACAAACAAAAGTTCACCTAGGTTTGATAAGTGCCCTTTGCTCCGAAGGGAAGATAAAAATAAATAATAGTGATAAGAGTTAACAAAGTAAAACCCAACCTGTCTGGTTGAATGCGAATAATAGTGGCTTTACTTCATATAGGCAGCTTCCAGATCAACGTAAAAAAGCTTTACTGAATATTCAGACCAGTGCTATTTACTTAGCTGCTCTCAAACGGGAATAAGCAGACATCAGCTATCAAGTTTCTAGGCTGGAAAAATCCATAAAGGCCACTGGACACAGACACCATGGGGACATCATCCAGACAGTTAATAAAAATAACTTGCCCAACATTTTTGGAACCTGATGCAAGCTATACTTGTGGTTCTGTCTGTTTCCTTTGCTTTATCCAGTAACAACAGAAAAGGAGGCCGGTCACCAGGACTATGATAACTTGGATGTTACAGGAGACAACCAGTACAGGAGACATGCAATACAACTGCAATTAATAACTCAACAGCCAATTATTGAGACAGTGCTTGTGTAAGCAATTAACACATAACATTCAGTCAGAGGACTAGATGGTAAATGGGTGCTTATCTTAAGTCCAGAGCAAAGAAGTTGATTGAGACACAAGTATTTGAGCAGGACCACAGCCTTAGATCATTCCATCTGTGTTCACAATAGGGGGAATTCCAATCCTGTGTCACATAAATACATAGAACAAACAACCGTAATTTGCTATAGTAGTCAATAAGAGTGCATCAATTCATTCAGAAATATTTATTAAACACCTGTAGCATGCTAAGCATTCTAGGGAATTCAAATATATGTCAGTTATTCCCTAATTTTTTTTTTTTTTTTTTTTTTTTTGAGATGGAGTCTTGCTGTGTCGCCCAGTCTGGAGTGCAGTGGCGCGATCTCAGCTCACAGCAAGTTCTGCCTCCCGGGTTCACGCCATTCTCCTGCCTCAGCCTCCTGAGTAGCTGGGACTACAGGCGCCCGCCACCTTGCCTGGCTGGTTTTTTGTATTTTTTAGTAGAGACGGGGTTTCACCCGGTTAGCCAGGATGGTCTCCATCTATTGACCTCATGATCCGCCCACGTCGGCCTCCCAAAGTGCTGGGATTACAGGCTTGAGCCACCACGCCCGGCCAGTTATTCCCTAATTTTAAGTAAATTGAAGTCCAGTAGTGAAATAAGGTTTGCTCAGCACATATGTGTTAGTATCGTATGAGAGGTATAATTGCTGTAACTATTTGGAGGATGGAGAGATCACTTCCAGTTACTTGATCAGGGAAGATTCTATAGCGAGGAGGGCACTTGGAAGGGGCATGCACTTAAAAACAAACTTTTTGTTAAAGCATAACACACACATAAAAGAGTATATATTGTATACAGTACAGGCTCACTGAATTTTCACAATCTGAAAACACTACATATGTAACCAGCACCCAGAGAGAATAGTACAGTATTCCAGAAGCCCCCCAGGTCCCCGGCCAATCACTCTTGGGGGAGTAGGATTTTCTGAGATGAATGTAGACAGACAGAAGATTATTGGAGGAAGGATCGGTATGCATAAAGATGTGGAAATTGAAAGCCATGACCCATGTTTGGAGAATGGGCTGAAAAGTAATTTGCTTGGGATGTTGGCTAGAGAACAGGGTCGCGTCCACGTTATACAGCTTTAAATGCCAAGTAGAGGAGTTAGATTTTATTTGTTAGCTGCTGAAGGCTTTTGAGCAAGAGTATTATTTTTGTAAGACTTTTTGATGATGGCTGATAATTTACTGGTGATGGGACAATTGAGAGACTAAGGTTGGGAGACTGGCTGGGAACTTCTGTAATAATAGTCCGGATATGAGATAATTTTGGCTCTGCAGTGGCAGTGAGAACAGAGTGACTGACCATACACAGACACTTTAAAGAGAACTTTAAACAAGAACTAAATGACTGGAGATCTAGAGGAAGGGGAAGGGGTCAAAGAAAATTTTCTTCCAACGATCTAATCAAGATGAAATTTAGTAATTTTTTTTTTTGGGTAGTTAGTTGTTATTTACTTGTTGTATAGGGTTAACACAGTCTTTGAATGCTGTCTCTCCAAGAAATTCTGAAAACTTTCTTACAGTATTTGAAGAAAACCTTGAGTTACTATAAAGAAACTCTAAAGAAAGCAACTGACCTTTCAGACAAAAAGAGTCCTTTGTTAGTCAGGAAATGTGGACTGTTTGTCTTTTCAAATGGATGCATGCGACAATAAACGTTTCGCTGGGGGGAAAAATGACTCCAAAGAAGACTTTTGAAGATGTCACACGAACAGCAAATTATTGGGTGCTGAACACTTTCCTGTTTCTTCAACCTCTTAAATAATTTTATTAACCCAGATTTCTAGGTAGGATGATTTAACTTCATCTTATACGTTTACGTGTAATGTGTTTCTACAGAAAACAAAAAATCTTTTTGAAGAAAAAAGGGCGTAACTTTTTTTGACAACTTACATTACTGGCTATGGGAGTCATTTTTAATTGATGGCACCTCTTCTACCTCCCGCCCCGCCTCCATTCCATCCCTTTGCTTCCAATACGGGGGGTTCCTCACTCAACACATAATCGAGCACGTAACTGGCACTGTAACTTATAACGTCTTTCAAGGTCTTTCTTAACTGTACGTTTTTCTGCACAATCAGCACCTTATTTCTTAGAGACTGTTCATTTCTGGAATTTTTGATGCATGTGGTGGTTTCCAGGCACCAGGATTTGGTAGTAAAACAGGAGACTGAAGAGAAGTTGCTCCCGAAAGCTGTTCTGTGTGCAGGTAACCAAGAATCAGAAATTTCTGAGACCAGACGAAGGGAAGGAACTTTACTTGGTATACAGCGCGTGGGTGCAAAGAGGAGGGGAGTCCGGGAAGATGAGAGGTGGCAGAGGCGAGACCCCGTTCTCTCTCCAGATCTTAAGCTCCGGGTGGGCGGGCGCCGGTGGCCTGGAGCCCGGCCTGCGCGCCTCTCCACACCTCTGACCACCCACCTCCTCCGCCCCTTCCCGGGATAAAGTTCCCAAACTTTCCCCCAGCGGGGAGAGGAAGGGTGTTACTCAGTTTAAAAGGGAAGTCCCGCCCCATTCCCGGATTCCGATTGGTCGGGATTTGCCACGCCCCCGCCAGGGCAGCCGGTCGATTGGCTACGGGAAGGGAGCCCCGCCTCAGGCCCGTTGCCCTCGGCTGCCTAGGCCCCCAGGTGGCAGGCAGGTGGGGCTGGTGCAGTCCGCGCCGCCTCTGCTGCAGCTGCCGCCGTCAACTTCTTGCGCGCTGGCACCCCGCAGCCTTTAAGGTTGGCGCGCGGGACTGGCGAGAGTTAGCCATGAAGAGCCTCAAGTCCCGCCTGAGGAGGCAGGACGTGCCCGGCCCCGCGTCGTCTGGCGCCGCGGCCGCCGCCGCCAGCGCGGTGAGTCCCGCGGCCCGGGCTGCCTGGCGCTCCGCTCCGGGAGCAGCGCAGCCCTCCTTTGCTGGCGAGCTCGCGCGCCGCCTTCCTCTGCTTTTCCTCTGCCAGTTCGGCTTCGGCGGCCCTGGCGACTCCTCTCTCAGGCCGGAGACTCAGTCAGCCCAGAGACCCCGGGGACCCTCCCCGTCGCCGCACCCGAGCCTCTACGGGTCTCTTCCCCACCCCTTTCCCCCAAGCCTCCGAACTTCTGGAAGAAACCTCAGTGCTGCGGTTATGGTCCCCTCCTCTTAAATCCAGCGTTCCTCGATTGGCCCCCCTACTCCGCTCTTTCGTTGACCCCCCTCATCGCTCTCCTTTCCCGGCGCTCGTCCCGCTCCCCACGCCCGCTCGGCCGTGTTGGCCCCCCAGTCCCCAGGGCCGGGGCTCGCACCGGGCAGGGCAGGTGGGCAGGGCTGCGCACCCCGCGCCACTGTGCCCGGACTCCGGACCTTCCCCGAGTCTGAGACTGAGCGTCAAGCCCTGCCAGGCTGGTGGACGTCCCGTGCTGGCCGCTGTCGTTGTCATTGGAAAGTTTGATTCCCCAGCGAGGCAGAGGGAATCGCCTTAGTTGTAAAGACAAAACCCCACAGGGTGGTGACCCTGGAGGTGGTGAAGTCGGGTGGTGGTGTGGGTCGTGTAAATCGCACCTGTGGGGCGGGATCCGTGCGGGGCGCTTTCGGTGCTGACCTGTAGCGCGGCCTCAGTGTGCACGCCAAGGAGTAGTCAGGGCCTCTTTAGTTGGCAGGAGAACAGAAATCTTGAGAAACAGCCCGACCGCAGATGTTGTGATTTAGATAATTTGTCACGTTACAAGAATGGCGATATCATCAAAATTCTATGTCATTAAAAAAGTGCTACTTAAAAAGTGTTGAAGAGTCGAACGTAAAGGAGTTGTTATGCTCCAAGTGCCCAGTTACCTAGTTGGGGCAATTAAAATGAACCTTTACAATTTAACACAGATTTTACCAAAGGATTGTATTCTTTTTATCAGAATACTAATTAATCTGCTTCTGCTTTTTTGAGTTAATTCAGAATTGTGCCTTTCTCTCCACCTATATTGAGGATTATTTTACTTGGACATATAGGAAATTGTGGAGGAACTAACTAGACAAATTCATATTTCAAAAAAAGAGTAGATTCAGATGACGTAATTGATGTTCTTTGATAAGGCATGAAGTCGTTTTATAAGCTCATAGAAAAGAGAGATCACTTTGTTTCACTTAAAAAAAAAGTAATTGGAAATGTCAGTGATATTGGAGGTCATTACAGTTAAGATTCTACTTCTCTAATGCAGGTTGTGTTTTTAGCTTTATAGAAGTTACACGTTTCTAGGTTTATTAACTATATTTTCCCTGGTTGTGTTTGTTTGCACTAAGGATTTACATCCCATTTAGAGGTTTATATGACTTAATTTTATCCCATTTTCTGGAAATGCAGAGTATTTAGTGGGTATTATCAGCATGATAGTTTGCATTTTATACATTTGGAACATAAAGTGCATACCTCTAAGCTTAAATCTTATCACTCAATTGAGCATTCTGTTTTTCTCAAAATGACATAATAAAGATAAACGTGATATTAACCTATTTATGTAGAAAAAGCAAACATTTCTGTTTAAATATTAGAATAAGTTCTGTACAATTTAAAAATAAAAGCATAATGATGAATAAAACTTAGAATGAATTCTGTAAAATTTTAAAATAAAACTATAGTGATGAATAAAACCAAACCAAGCGTCGATAGAATAAAACACATATACAGGAGAAATAGATCCTTTCTGCTTTTCAATCTATAAACCATAATCCTAGATTTGGTCACATGTATGTATTATATGATTGGGCTACTCTTTTTTTTTTTCTTTTTGCCTTTAAAAACAGTTATTTTTTGAATAGGTATTATAGTACATGGTTTAATATTGGAAAGGAATAAAAATATTTACAACAAAATATCAGTACTGTTTCCCTAACGCCTGCTTCAGCCACCCTGCCCCAATTCCTCAGAGGCCAGTGGTGATACAGTTGCTTGTATGTTCCTCCAGAGAGAGCTTAGCATATACAAACAAATATGAATATAAATAGTCATCCTTTATAGAAATGCTAGCACACTGTAGCTGCTGTTTCATATCTTGGACTTTTTTTTTTTAAACTGTAAATAGAACCTTCCCATTCATATCTTGCTGTAATGTACAGTTATGTGATTAATATTTATATTTCAAGTGCGTGTCTGTACCTGTAGGATCAATTCCTAAAAGTGAATTGCTGAGGTAAAGGATATGTGCATTTGTAATTTTGAATGATGTTGTCAAATTTCCTTTCATGCATCATGGAACCAGTATATGAGAAATGTTTTCCAAGCTTTTAGTAGAAGTCTTCAAAGTTTTTGATCTTTGCTAGCCTGATAGGTAAGAACAGTTTATCCTTTCCATTTTTCTTTTTTTTTCTGTTTTTTTTTTTTTTTTTTTTTTTTTTGAGATGGAGTCTCGCTCTGTGGCCAGGCTGGAGTGGCACCATCTCCGCTCACTGCAGCCTCCGCCTTCCAGGTTCAAGTGATTCTCCTGCCTCAGCCTCCCGAGTAGCTGGGACTACAGGCATGCAGCACCATGCCTGGCTAATTTTTGTATTTTTAGTAGATACCGGGTTTCACCATTTTGTCCAGGATGGTCTCAATCTCTTTACCTTGTTGATCCACCCGCCTCGGCCTCCCAAACTGCTGGGATTACAGGTGTGAGCTACTGTGCCCGGCCTATCCTTTCCTTTTTTCTGTTGGGTTGTTGATATTTTTCCCTATTCATTTGTATGTACTTTATATCTGGGAAATTAGCCCTTTTCATATGAATAATATTATTTCTTAATTGGTTATTTGTCTTAAGACTTTTTTTGGTGGCATTTGCTGTGCAGAGAAGGTGGTTATTTTTATACAATTGAATGTATAACCTTTTATGTTTTTTAGGTTTATGTTAGATCTTGGCCTTTCCACTCTGCAATATTCAGTATTAAACAACCCCCCTCCCCAAGTTTCTTCTAGTCTTTTTTTTTTTTTTCTTACGTTTAAGTCTTTGATACATAAGATATTTATTATGGTGTAAGGTACATCTTACTTTCTTCTCCTCTTTCCTCTATGGGTACCTAATTTGAGTCTTAAAGTGTTCATTTAATTATTTTGGAATAGTCACTATTCGCTTTGCACAACTTTGATTTGAGATAAAATTTTAAAATGTTTATTTCATAAATTTCCTTTGTGTATGTGTTTTTAAGGTTATTATCTGAAGGAGACACATTAGCAGTAGACTGAGGTATGTGACATATACAGATATTTTATTACATAATATGTGGAATACAGCATATTAGCTTAGCATGCTAAATTAGAATTATGTGCAGATTATGGGCAAAAGTAGTGTTTTACATATTCTGAATAGTACCATTGTTATAAATACTCCAGTGAATTTAGAGTTTACTAAATGGGAATGTTTGTACACATGTAAATGTAGTTCACAATTACAAATTGTGGATAAACTACATTTGCGGATTAGTCCTTTGCTAGCAAATCTGGAGATGGCTGCATCTATTAACCATAAACCAAGAGTGTTTTTATTGTTACATTTATTGTTTATTTATTTATGTATTTATTTTTTGAGACGGAGTTTTGCTCTTGTTGCCCAGGCTGAAGTGCAATGACGCGATCTCGGCCCACTGCAACCCCCACCTCCTGGGTTCAAGTGATTCTCCTGCCTCAGCCCCGAGAGCAGCTGGGATTACAGGCACCCACCACCATTCCCGGCTAATTTTTTTGTATTTTTAGTAGAGATAGAGTTTCACCATGTTGACCAGGCTGGTCTCAAACTCCTGGCCTCAAGTGATCCACCTACCTTGGCCTCCCAAAGTGCTGGGATTACAAGCATGAGCCACCATGCCCAGCCTGTTACATTTATTTTTAATTACTAAGTTGGAGCTTCGAATTTCTAAAAGTAATAATTAAATGACTATAAATACTGTATCAGATCTGGTTAATTATTTGTTCAGTTATATGTATAGTGAGAATATGCTTGTTCCATTTTCACCTAGCTTAGGAAATTTAAGTAATATAAATTAAGGGACTGTAATTCCAGAAGTAGTAGAAATGCTGCAAACAAATATTGTAAGCAGACATTTTAGAAGGGGATTCCACTTTAAATTGGATTGATTGAGCCCGGGAGTTCGAGACCCGCCTGGGCAACGTGGTGAAATCCCATCTCCACAAAAAATACAAAAGATTAACCGGACGTGATGGTGCATGCCTGTGGTCCTAGCTACCTGGGAGGCTGAGGTGAGAGGATCACTTGGGCCCAGGAGGTCAAGCTGCAGTAAACTGTGACTCCAGCCTGGGTGACAGAGGGAAACTTTGTCTCCAAAAAAAAAAAAAAAGTCGTAGCAGAGTACTTTGATTGTAGAAGTAATCTCTGACCTGAGAGGTTCTGTAGTGATTATTTTTGCTGCCCTTTTTCTAGGCTACTCTTAAAATGGGGCAGTGAATTTTATACATCAGAACTAAATATGTTCTAAAGCATCTTGCTATAATGCTTCAGCACTGTGAAAAAATACTGGTATTTCTAAAAAAATTTAGAGTT